TATTTTTTTTTTTATATATATATTTAAAATGTGAGGTGCCATAATGTTATTTTATTATCCAAAATTTTAAATTCCATCACAACGAGTGACTAGCGAGAAAATCAGATCAGATAAATGACTACCTATAAATTGAAAGTATATAAAGTGATATGTGTCTTAAAATTTGTTTTTCTTATCCTCTTTTAATGCCAGTAATAAGTTGGTTAGTTACAAATGTTCCTTTGTAATAAAAACCAAACTTAAGTGCCTCTCAAAATTTTTTATTTTGTAATAATTGTGTCACATTCTCTACTGTAGATACTAAATAATTGTTTATATTTGACTGTAGTTGCATGTAACAGAGCATTTTGTAGGAACATGGCACAAACTTTGGACAGGATATCATCAGTCACTGACCATTGATCAAAGCTCTAAAAGTCTTTAACTCCAAAATGTAGCAGTACCTGAAAAAGCATAAAAGTGGAGCTAGAGGAAGTATTTACAACAGTAAATTGGCACTGCCTTGGGTGCACTACAGGATAAAATAACACAATTAAAACGGTAAGCAACAATAATAAATAATTAAAGACAGTTAAACTTTCTTTAAAGACAAAATGGTACAATTTCAGAGTGTTTACTTATTTACTAATTTACTTACTATCTGAGAAAACTGCGGCTAACAAATTTCTCAGAATAATACATAATATAAATTAACCTGCAAAGTGAAATTTAAGTCTGATTAAAAATTATGAATTCCTAAATCAATCAATAATATTTAGTTTTTATTCTGACGATAAGTTATTTATATTTAGCTGTTAGTTTTCAACTTTGAGAGAGTATGTTGGGTTGCCTAGCCACACATTCAGTTTCTGGAAATTAATTTTTATATTTATTGTGAAACCGCCCATCAAAGGTGACTTTTCATTCGTTCGACAGGTCCGGACTGAAAATTTTTCGTGAGATGGTTGCTACATATTAATATTTTTTGTAAAGGTTGAAGTTAGTTTAAACTTTAATTTTATGGTAAAGTGAATACTTTGAATGAATGATTCATAATAACTGCACAATTTGCATGCTATAACCCTAAAAAATATTAAAGGATTTAATTGCTAAGCCTATATCGATTATTGTTAATAAGACTGTGGTGCTTGTCCTGATCATTTCAAAAAAGCTGATTTGATACCTATTTACAAATCCAATGATAAACAACTCTTAAACAGTTGTAGTCCAATATCCCTAGTGTTAAATTTAGCAGTTATTTGAGAAAATTATTTAAAACAGATTATATCATTTTGTAGAAAAAGAAAATATAATAAATAGTAAATAATATAGTTTTAGAAAAGGTGTAGGATGCCGAAACGCTTTTAATTGCTCAATAGTATTAATTGACCCAGCGTAAACTAATTGTTTTAAATTGTCCCATAGGAAAATGTCTAAAGGGTTAAGATAAATTAAACGTATTTGCTTTTTTTTGATTTAGTATAATAAGTAAAGTATTTTTTAAAACTGAAAATCTAAAAGAAGTTCTATTTGAAGAAAAGTTATTCTTTTGATTTATTATTAGAATTCGAATTTTGATGTAATATTTCATTTTGCTTGTCCAGTAGCTAAACACC